AGCGAGACCAAGAACCCCAGAAAAACCACGAAAAGTCTCATTCGACACAACACCACCAGCGCCGGCCATCATTCCAGAATTCTCACACCTCGCCGTCAGCAATTTGACGCCGAGGCCCTCTCTCGACAGCTCACTCAGCTCACCGACCTCGTCAATTAGCACGAGATCGAGCATGAGACGCCATGCAAAGACGCCCATCTACGCCATTGGCCAGCTGGAAAACGCAAGCTATGGGAGGAGTGCCAAAACCGCCGAAAAAGTCACAAGCGTCGACCTGATTGCGAACCAGTACCGAGATCTCCTCGAGACCCAGGACGCCAGCTCAATATACACTGACGCCCACTCTGATCCCTTCCCATCACGACAATCTTTGCACAGCCAGATTTCCTCCTCCACTACCCGGTCACGCCACAGCGCCGGTGAGACACCCGCAGAGCAGCTCCGCCGAGACATATTTTCGCCGGCACCGGCGCCGTTGCGCCGTGCATCGGCGGCGTATCCCAGGTCACCGCGGTCTGATGATGGTACGCTGGTTGCATTCGATGAGGAAGCGATCTACTTCAAGCCCCTGTCATTCTCACCAGAACCGCCGTTGACACCCCCGCCCCCGCCGCGGAATCGCGCCCGATTGAATCGCAATTCGTCCTCCCAAGGAGGGTCGAATCAGAACCTGAGCCTGCAGATTGCAATGGACCTCTTGACGCGTGAGCTCTCGACGAGCATGTTGGACAACTCGCACAAGACGGGGACAGACGTCTCGTCTCTGCAGGTCTGGGTCATGATCGAAGCCTACGAGAGGCTGAGGGACCAGGTTCTAGAAGCGAGGAGGCAGACAGATGACGCGCAGAACCTGGAAACGGTGTTTGATACCTGGTTGAAGGCTCTCTATAACCTTCATGACCAGATGACGAGTGATGCGGCTTCTCGCGGGAGCAACTACGATGAAGCATAATCGGGGCTAGGAAACAAGGACGGATGACGGATGATCTACTGTTAGTTAACTTGGGTACGGAAACACCCGCAAGGTTAGGGCAACGGCGTTGGAGTTGAAATACGTTCGGACACGGCATGTCTGAGTAAGAGTACCTTAAACCAGGTAAAAAGAACAACAGTATCAAATTCAATACCAATTCAAATCTGAAAATGAGAAGAACTCAAAGATGTGAGGCATGTGAAATACTATTGCTCCATGGTTTCAATGAGTAGTCTACGGAGTAAAGGCGAGGTGAATGGAATGAACGACCCCACCAGTTTGACAGTTTTGCTGAGGTGCCGAATTCGATGGCATCATCAATTGCCGTTTGGGGCGTGTGGCCCGCTGTAGTCACCACTGCATTGGTTACCAGACCCCGCCAAAGGTGAGCTACGTTCTATGTACTACGTATTACAGATCCATACCTTAACTTCCGCAGACGCGACTCTCACCGCGTGCACTTTCTTTGCCTCGTTCAACATCACCAGGCGTATTGCCATCCTCCTGCTCTCCACGCCGTGCACCGTGGCACAGATAGAGACCGGTTTCCGATTCCTCAACATACAAGCAATTGGGCAAATACGTAGAATCACCAATCATGGACGACGATTTCGGTGCCGACGAAGACTTCCTGGCCGCTCTCGCATCTTCGAACCCGGCACCTTCACGCCCCGAGGCTCAACCATCTCGTCCCCGTGTGCAGCAACCGACACCGCAGAAGATACAGCAGCCGACACCGCAGCGCTTGGATAGACCACCGCCCGCAAATGCTTCTGCGAGCGGCAAGATTGTCCAACCGACACCCCAGGCCCTTCCCCAGCGAGGATCCGGCTCGGCCATTCTTGTGTCTCCACGGCAGAGGGGCAACCCGGTGCTCGCATCTCTCAAGTCGATGCCATGGGAGTACAGCGATATTCTGGGTGACTACGGTCTTGGTTTGACGACATGTGCATTGTTTCTGAGGTAGGTTCACTACTCAACCAATTCCCTCAAGCTACCTACCTTCCTACCTTAATGACAGGCATGCTAACCCGTATCTGCCTTCAGTCTGAAGTACCACCGCCTCCATCCCGAGTATATCCATACGAGGATCAGGAATCTTCAAGGGAAATACAACCTACGTCTCGTACTGACTATGGTTGATATTCCAAACCACGAGGAGGTCTTGCGCGAGTTGTCCAAGACCTCATTGGTCAACAACGTCACCCTCATTCTTTGCTGGTCAGCCGCCGAGGCCGCGCGATACCTCGAGCTGTACAAGTCGTACGAGCACGCCAATTTCAACGCCATCCGCGGCCAACAAGCGTCGACGTATGCGGAGAAGCTCGTCGAGTTCGTCACCGTTCCCAGGAGCGTCAACAAGTCGGATGCCGTTGCCCTGGTCAGTAACTTTGGTAGCTTGAAGAACGCCATCAATGGGAATCCCGAGGAGATTGGCCTGCTAGCTGGCTGGGGCGCTGTCAAGGTCAACAAATGGGTCAAGGCTGTCGAGGAGCCTTTCCGAGCACAAAAATCTGGCAAGCGACAGCTGGATCGATCAGACCGCACCGAGGACGGGAGGCCGTCGCAAGCATCGAGGTTGGATCAAGCTGTGCCTCTCAGCAGAGTCCCGCTTCGTGAGATGTCTATGAGAGACTCATCGAGAGGCTCACCTGCAGTGGGCACGCCAACGACAACCCAGCCCAAGAGGCCTGCCGCCTTGGAGAGAGGCAATCCGGATCTCGACGAGGACGATGAAGAGGCGATGATCGCCGCCGCTATTGAGGAATCAAGGCGGACTGCTGAGGTGCAAGCACAAGTACAAGCACAGACGCCGGTGCAGGCGCAGACGCAGACGAAACAAATTGACAGCGCAGGTGCGAAAGACGATGCACTTACAGACGGGGTCGCGGCCGCACTCGCAAGGTTGCGGAAGCAGGGCTGAATACCTGTATTCTCTAGGCTATCTCGCTTTTTCGTACAGCCCCAGAAACACGACACAGCCTTGGAGATTGCGGGCTAAAGTCTAATCGACGTTTCGAAAGGACGGCACACCTTACAAGAGATGGATTCGCGTGTATGGCATTTTCCCTTGGTGTTCCGCGAGGCACCTTTCGCATAAGAAAGAGGAAACTCCATGACTCGTTGGGATTCGAACAAGAGCATAAATGCGGCTTCGAGAGGAAGAACGAATCAAACGACGAAGTAAACTTTGCGTACTTCTGAAGCGACCCTTGCTTCGTCGGTGGGCCAATCACGACGATGCCAACCGGGAAACAGGATGCATTCATCAGACGATTCGCCCGGTAGGAAAGCGAAGTCCGTCTGTAGAAGCATGCCATCCAAGTCAGATCTACCTAGAATATCCAACGCTGCCTTCGGCGTATCAACAGAGCAGGTGGGGGACTGTATGCTGTGCTCAATAGAGGTCGTGTTCGCGGGTTCGCGCAGTGCGGGGGCGGCCTCGACACGGATTTGCAGGTACCGAACTCAAAGTCAAGAGTTGGAGATGAAGATCGTCACGCACGCATCTGGTATTTCTCCAATGTCACCCTTCTGACCAAGTCAAGTGGTTGACATGGGACGAGCTGGCGGACCTTAGTTCTGACGCCGCGCCATTTCTCCCTATCACGATTGACATTTGATCTTTGGTTTGTGTAACTCTTGGGCAACTTGCCAAAGGACTAAAACTATTGATGCGCTACTCCTTGCTCTTACATGAAAATCAAATAGGCACTGCATCGACGCCGAGCATGCAGAGCCTCCGAGATCCAATGATCAGTAGCTCCGATCATCCCCGGCTAGATTAAGCCGGGTATAGCGGCCGTCGGCACAACCAAGCAGTCTTCTGATCCGCCCGCGCCAAGGCCAAAGGCCGCAGTCGGTCAATATCTGGAGGCCATGCAAATTGACTCTCGGTTGAAGCGCATCTCCAAAGTCCCGAGGAGACACTGCCTCATACGGAAGGTCAACAAGTTTATGTACAACTTACAACACCTTGTGGTCGGGGCATTGTACGAGGGCCCAGAACATCCCCTCATTTCTATCCCTCGGAGGCTCGGGTATTGCAACTCGCCAGCATTTGTTTCCTTGACTTCATCTGCCCGTATGCAACTGCAACTGCAACGCAACGCTGCATTTAACTTTGGGTAGCACTCACTGGGCAAGGGGCCTTTCCCAAGTTTCCCCCCAACAGCTGCTCCGCACGTGCTTGATTCACCAGGGACGTCCGTGCCTGGTGACTTTGCCATTTCGAGATGAGCAGCGACGAACCTGGGCAAGATCTTCTCTGCGCGTGTTTGATGCCAGTCATTACGGCCACCAGCGGACTCGGCCCGCGTGGACGGCTCATCACTCGCCCTACCAATGGTGTAACCCCCGTTCGAATAAGAACAGTTCGTCTGACTCCTGGGTGTTAGATGCACTCATAGTCTCATTCTACTGGGGTGGTGGTGGGACTTTGGGGAGGTGGAGGGTGGTATCCAAAGGAACAATAATCAGGAGGGCGAAGATGAGCCGGAGATGGGAAGGGAAAGACACCGGATCGCGAGGACCACTTACAATGTCGAATGGACAAAACAAACCTAACGTTGCAGACGCAGAAAGCCGACAGAAGCAGGAGAAGAAGCAGGGGCAGCTGGTGTGTGGGAAAAAAAAAAAAAAGATCCCGACGATGAGACATGGAGCAGGGGCGAACGCACAGTCCGGGGGACTATGGATGAGAAACAGAGTTTATTCATCTCATGCTGTGCCTGCGTGAAAGTGTTCCCAGTCTCCAGGTCCTCCCTCCCGAAGTTTCCCAGAGTTTGCCGATTCCTGGGGGTTGCGTGATTCCAACACACCCCCGACTGACCCATTGTCATTTTATTACCCTTTGCGCGCCCCAATAATGCAGTCGACGGTAGATATATATATTTGACCACAGCCTCTCTCCTTCCCTCGCTATCGTTCGTCGTTCGTCCGGACCCTGCTCCGTCTGTAGTCTCAGTCTCTTTCTGCTTCCCAGGACCGACATCTAATAGCTTGGAGGCTTCTCGTCGCGAACACGATGCACCTGTCAATGCGCGGACTGGCCATCGCCGGGCTCCTCGCCCAGGCGTCAGCCTCCCCTCAATCTCTTCTACAGGCCGCCGCGCCGCAGTATATCAACCAGCCCGAGAGGGCGGCAGCCGTCAAGGAAGCCTTCCAGCGCTCGTGGGACGGGTACCGCAAGTTCGCCTTCCCCAATGACACGCTCAAGCCGGTGTCGAACACGGCCGAGAATGACCGGTACGTTCTTAGTCGTTTGCTCCACATGAGACAGAGCGCAAAGAACCCCGTTTCCTGACCATGTTTTGCTGTAGGAATGGTTGGGGTGCGAGTGCTGTGGACGCCTTGAGTACTGCCATTCTTATGGAGAACAAGGACGTTGTGGGACAGATTCTAGACTTTATACCGACCATCAACTTCAACGTGACGGATAGCGAGGTCTCTCTGTTTGAGACGACTATCCGATATCTTGGCGGCATGTTGGCAGGTGAGACAGGCTTCCCAATGTAAAAAGGTGGTGTTTCTCTCGTAAAGCTAATACAACTGAACAGGACATGACTTGCTGAAAGGACCACTCAAAGATGTCGCCAGTAATCAGACCGGCGTAGACAATCTTCTCGTGCAGTCGAAGAAACTTGCAGACAATCTCAAAGTCGCGTTCGATACAGCAACCGGCATCCCCGATAACACGCTCATCTACGATCCCAAGCCGCGCAAGAAGGGCTCCGACACGAACGGCATTGCGACCATTGGGACCTTGGTGCTGGAGTGGACTCGCCTGAGCGACCTAACGGGGGACAAGCAATACGCGGATCTGTCACAGAAGGGCGAGAATTTCCTCCTAAAGCCCAACGAGGAGGTGTTCCCCGGCCTGTTGGGTACGGACGTCTTCATCTCGAACGGGACATTTGCGGATCGGTCCGGTGGCTGGAACGGAGGCACCGACAGTTTCTACGAATACCTCATCAAGATGTGGGTGTACGACCAGAACCGATTTTCGCTCTACAAGGAGCGCTGGATCGCTGCGGCCGATTCATCGATCAAGTTCTTGGCGTCGAGCCCGACTACTCGGCCTGATTTGACGTTCTTGGCGGCGTACAACAACGCGAACCTGAGATTCGTCAGCAGCCATCGTAAGTTTGAACCGCTTCTTTTTGGCCATGGTCGACTGCTCACAAGCTCGTCTAGTTGCGTGCTTCGATGGTGGCAACTTTATTCTCGGTGGTCTTGTTCTCAAGGAGCAAAAATACGTCGACTTTGGCATCAAGCTGACCGAGGGCTGCCGCGAGACGTACAAACAGACGGCGACTGGAATCGGGCCAGAAATCTTCCGCTGGCAAGACGACAGGCCGCCGGTGAACAAGACACTCAACCCGGACCCGCCCGCCAACCAGACAGAGTTCTACCAAAAGGCAGGCTTTTGGATCAGAGAGGACGGCGCGGGTTACGTTCTCCGACCCGAGGTCATTGAGAGCTACTACTACGCCTACCGCGCCACCGGCGACAGCAAGTACCAGGACTGGGCGTGGGACGCTTTCCTGGCGATCAATAAGACGTGCAGCGCGGGAAGCGGCTTCTCGTCCATCACCAACGTCCAGGATCCGAAGGGAGGGTCATTCGACGACTTCCAGGAAAGTTTCTGGTTCGCCGAGGTTCTCAAGTACAGCTACCTGATCCAGGCCACGGATGCCAAGGTCCAAGTTGAAGTAGCGGACAACAAGTTTGTTTTCAACACCGAGGCGCATCCGTTCCAGATCGCTTAGAAAGCGAAGACTTGTACCGGGAGAAGAAGGCCGAGGTTGTGGTGATGCATGCATTGATGAGCGAGAGGTGGGACGGTAATATTGATAGTTGGGCATAGATACCCATTATGAATAATTGCATTTTGTTTTTTTTGTTTTGAAGTTCATACCGAAGTCTTCTCCGTATACATGATCTTTCTGGTTTCATTGTCTATACTGGGCTATGAGCCGCCGTCTCTCTTGGCGTATTCCTCCTCCATGGCCTCCTCGTAGAGCCGGTCGGCCTCGAGCTCGGCATCCGTCTTGGGGCGGGTGGTGCCGGCTCCCGTGTTTGCGCCGGCGCCGGTAGCTTGGCCCGTGTGTTGCTGGCTCTGTCCGACTGTTTCTGTGGTACTAGACTGAGCTGGTTGTGTCTTTGTAGGTTCGTCTTCTGGGACGTTGGGGACGCCTAGTTTGATTGGGAGACCCATTGCGATGACGTAGTGTGGGGTGTATGAGGAATGCAATGTACAGAGTATGTATCTGTGGAGAGTGAGAGTTGGTTTAGGGTGAGAGAGTTGGGTGAGGATGAGGATGAGGATGAGGATGAGTGTTTGTGAAGAGAAGTGTGGCTGGGATGAGGCTGGTGTATGTGATGTATTTATGGGGAAGGAAGTTTGTAAGGTAGGAGAATGGAAGATTCCATGCGGCAGTGATGGGTAGCTAGAAGAGTCCGCATAGACTTGCGTCTGCCTTTGCTCGTGTGCTTGTCAAACAGTCACCTGTGGCGAATCATGGGAGGGAGCCGGCAGAGCTGTTCAGCTGCCCTAGGGACGCAGCGAGCTCCGCTATTCGCCGTGTGTGGGTAATGGTAGTTCGGATCCGAACTGATGGCCGGGGACTGGAAGTGTCTTGTCCTTCGAGCCGATCCGCCCCACCTGTTGTCTCTGGGATCAGCACTGGACGGAGGTCCAAAGCCACACATACACACCGCAAGCTTGATAAGGTAGGGAAGGTGAGATGAGTGGGTGCCAGGCAGGCAGAGAGGTATGGTACGTAGGTTGTGGAATGTACTTCCGTACACGTGCTGTGTTCACCGGGCAGCCGGAATCGAGATTTGAAGTGAGACGATTGCTTTTGGTCTCTTTGATTTAGAGGTTGGCTCATGTTTTGTGATCTAGATTGTCTTGAAAGTTTGGAACACTCGTGTCTCTCTCTCGCTCTGTTTCTGTGTGTGTATGTGTCTTGCGCACGTCGGGAAGTGGGTGAGAGAGGAAACAATTTAGAAGGTTGAGCTACCGTTCTGGATGAGACATGGCAAACACAGGATGTGTTCCCCGAAAGGCAATTGCTCGAAACTTTGCTTGTAATGGAGAGTCGAAAAAGTCAAAGCATACTGCGTGTAACGCTTTGGCTCTCGAGTCCTTGAGTAAGAGTTCAAGGTAAGGGGCCATGGGATGTGATTTGCGGATAAGGCCCAATGCTACGGCGGTATTTTTGCAATCTGCAGTCTGTAAAGTCAAAGGGTCTCCGGTGGGATGAGTCCTGGAAAAGTCAGGGACGACATTGCGACATTACCTATGACATTCTGTGAGATAGGGTTCTACGGCAACGTCGTTCTTGGTGAAATGTGTGTATGTGCGCCTCGGCCACCAAGAGACACAAGACACTGCCTACTCTAAATCGACTCAATTGGGCCACGTAGGACCTGTCTCACTCTCGATTCAATCGTACTGCGCCGCTCTGTCACGTTATACAGTGACGTTTTTCCTTTCTTTTTCTTTTTCCCCTTAGCAGTTGTCTGGTGACTGGAGGGAAGAGTCGCCATTCTGATTCGACTCGTGCAAGTCAGTAGTCACCCCAATAGAATACGGAAGAAGGTGAACAAGGTGCATCCAGATCAGCCAGGAACCATTTTGGATACCCAACGGGCCAGTGAGAGCGCTTGGATTTCGAATTTCCCGTCTCCCGTCGGCGCCGAGCACCGAGCAGCGATTTCCCCCTCGGACTTTTCTCTCTCGACCAACTACCTTTTGCAGTAAGCGATTGACCGTGCAATTGCATGGCCCCAGTCAGGATGAGCATGCTTATTCTCTCTTCACCGTCTTCTCTTTCCCCCTGTCCTCCCTCTCTATGTACACTACTGTGGTAGGCTTCTAGATGAAGATTAGCCCCCCCTTACCACAGTACGACTCGGCGCTGCGAAATAAACGCCGGAAGACCGGCCGTATGACCCCCGGAGGGTCGGCCGGTTGCACCGCGAACCAATCAATAGCGAATGTAGACGCAGTGAGAAACCCAAAAGAGGAAACGTAGTTATGTAAAGCAAAGGTAAAGCGGAGGTAACCATGCAGTTTGGTCCGTCACGGTGCTCCGAGTTGCGTTTAAGGATATAAGAGGTACGTACTCCGTACCTGTCCGTCCGTACTTCCGAGCTTTGGTGGGGCACTCCCGAGCCAGAGGACCAATGAAGGACACTATAATCAGTGCTTACCTCTGGGTCTGGCCAATCATCGATCGGCCGTTGCTGATTACACGTCCGAATGGTAACACCGGGTCGCAGGGTGGCCTGCGACCCCTGCAGCCTCTGGGATCGGGGGCGCTCGAACTGGGCCCTTGCTAATGGCTTTCTGGGTCGCATTGAGCAACAAGCTACACCATAGGCTGCTTTTTTGCTTGTCATGGGCGAGACTCGAGGCAAGCTTGGCCTTTTTTTCACTTCTGGGGCTTTGTAAGTTTCGTTTTTGTTGCCCCATTACTTGACATTCTTCTAGTCAAAGTACCTTGATTCTGCTTAGCTTTGATATGTAAGGGCAAGAAAGGGGGGGGGGGGGGACGGTACCTTGAGAAAGAAAGTCAAACGTTCCCAGGTCTCGAGGAATTTAAACTGACGGATGGTTGCCCTCTTACACCACTCTCGATCTGACACTGGAATGCCAACTGATCTCGTCCCTTATACTACTTCATACTACATCATCCAGACCTGTGAACAACTCGATTCAACCAAAACAAAACAAACAAGCCTGTCTCACTACCCCGGACTCGAGTTCTCTCTCTCGATTCTCCTACTAAAACCCGAGCTTACACCTCGGCGATTTACAAGTCGAAAGAAGCTTCTCTTTCCCTCGGACGTGCTTCGACAACGGGTCTACAGGATCAGGGCGAGAGAAGATTGAGATACATCATATTAACCCTGCCTGGACTTCGACACCACGCTCCCATCTCGATAACACATCAGCATCAGGGAACCCGGCTTACATTCTCCCTCTCTCTTCTCTCAAAGAGAAGAGCTATACTTACCATTACATCACATCACATTACACAAAATGGGTCTCGTTACATTGAAAAACCTCCTCTTCGGCCGCACGCCGCCCCCGACGCGCGCCAAAACCGTCGACGGCCGCGCCGAGAGCACAATGTCGGATGAGACTATCGTCGACAGCGGCGACCTCGAGAGGCAACCCCTGCTGCGGTCCAGCGACCGGACCGTCTCGACAGCGACCATGGCGACGGCGACGTCAGAAACGTCCACCACATCCACGAGAGTCTCGGAGAGCGACTCGCGCAGCTTCCGCCTCGACGCTCGCATGATTTCCGACGCCACTATTGGACTGTCTGACGGCTTGACGGTGCCGTTTGCCCTCACGGCCGGTCTATCAGCGCTGGGACAGACAAAGGTTGTCATCTTTGGCGGTATGGCGGAGTTGATTGCCGGTGCTATTTCAATGGGTCTCGGTGGCTACCTTGGAGCCAAGAGCGAAGCGTAAGTTCTTCACCATAGTTTTGACAATATGCTTGGAGAGCATCACTAACACTCAAACTCAACAGTGCATCCTACAAGGAAACCCGCAGCGAATGCACCCGCCTGACCCAAGACGACCCGGCCATGGCCCGCGCCCAGGTCCTCGAGGTTCTCGAACCTTACGACCTCCCCAAACAGACCCTCGAAGATGTAACAGACCACCTCTCAACTTCGCCCCGGCTCATCGACTTCCTCATGCAATTCCACCACTGCGAGCAGGAACCGGCCTCCAACCGCGCCTTCATCTCCGCCCTCACCATCGCCGCCGGCTACCTCCTCGGCGGTCTCATCCCGCTGTTCCCCTACTTCTTCGTCCCAGCCGAGGACGTCTACCTGGCGCTCTACATCTCCGTCGCTGTCATGGCCGTCGCGCTGTTCGCTTTTGGCTACGTCAAGACGTGTATCGTCTCGGGTTGGTCCGGTTTGCGGTGCGTGAGGCAGGCTGTTGTCGGCGGGTTGGAGATGGTTGTCGTCGGTGGTGCGGCGGCGGGTGCGGCAATGGGGTTGGTGAAAGCTTTTGATCAGCTGGCGCAGTCTGATGATGTGTCTGCGTTGGCGAGCAAGATTTTCTAATACCCTCACACCTATTCTCTTTTTCTACTCATTTTCTCGACTCATGTCGTCTGTCTGGACAAGCTCCTTTTTCTTACTTCAATACCTCTACTCTTCTGTTTATTCTCTTTGTCTAGGGTGTACACGGGATGTGTTACACGCCATCAGGGTGGTAGGGAGGCACAGGAAAACTCGGACCGGGGGTTCAGGTCAGGGCAAAGGAAAATCTCCCATGTTTGCATTGTTTAGCGTGGTACGCGGTTACACCAAGGGAACCATATTATCCCAGAGTCGCCTTCCAGATCGAGAAGATGGTTAGGTCGCAGCGATGCGAAGGAGGGCGGCGTCGGCGTCGAAGAGTCTCACGAAACTATGGGATATGACAGCAAGGACAGCTGCAGGGGAAGCCAGATTTCACTAGATAGACCATCTATTAAAACAAGACTGAGACACGTTCTCTCTTCCACAGTTCATTCAATACATTGATCAAGTACGGGAACTTGACCGCTGCCTCAGCCCTAGTAGAGCTTGGTCAGGAGATTCACTCTCTCGATGCCTCCTGCACTGGACAGCAGTCGACTGCTGTGCCGATGTTGAAAGTAATTGTTTCTGGGTCATTATTCATTCATGTTTGCTTACATCGTTACTTGCTAAAGGAGTTCATTGCTATATAACTGCGCCTCTACAGACTAGACCTGTCTCTTTTGGTACCACATCTTCGACTCTTCCTCCCGTATCCTATAGCCAGCCTGCTCCCAACTTGCTTATTTAGGCACCACCCAAACCACGCTGGGCGTGGTTGGCAGGGGCTCATAATGCAAAAAGGCCTTCCTCTTGGCGGCTCGCCATCTAACGGCTTTGATAACACCAATGATGAAGACACCTGAAATAACAGTGAGCCCAACGACAGCCCGGGCAATATCTTCACGTAATCCCCAAGGAGCTCCAATGGTGCCAGGAGGTGAGTCATGGTCAGGATCTAAGTGCGTCAGTACGGAAGTCTACGAGGCATTGGGCAGAATAGAAGACATACCTGTCTCCGGTGACAGTAGCTCATCGACAACATGAGCAACCCCACCGCTAATGAGCACATTTTGCATCGTCACCATCTTGTGGTTCACAAAGATTCGCCCCTTGGAATCGCCACTGATGGAAATTTTCTTGCCGCTCATCGTCGTCACCATCCTCGGCTCTTGTGGGAAAGATGTGTGGAACAAGACGTGGTCCGGGACGACGTGGTCTTTAATGAGCGTCTCTAGTGCCTTGTCATCGAGAGATTCTAGCTTCGAGCGTCCTCTCCAGACGGCCTTGTTCCTTGGGAGGAAAACGGTTACGTCGTGGAGCTTCTCGAGTACACCATCCATGCGGGACTCGGTGACTACGTTCCAGAATCCGTCGAGTTCTCCCAGGCTGCTTGTCTCTGACAGACTACGGGGGAGCACCAGAGCCTGGTTGATTGTGTGAATGACGCCGTATGTGTGGGGAATGTCCGTGTCGACTGTGTGTACGATTTTCTGGTCGCCGGACTCCACGCGTAGATTGTGTGAGCCGTCGCAGGTCGCTGTCAACTTGACGACGGCCCCCTTGGAGATGTTCGTTAAGCCTGAGGATGGTTTGAGTGACGACTGGGCTAGCTGGGTCTCTGTATGAAGTGCAGGAGCCGATGAGAGGTAAGAGCCCTCCAAGAAATGGTACTGCAAGACTCCCCTGGCGATGTCTGGGTCCATGGAGGTGAGATTCAGGCCCCATTTTGCGAGATAGATGATCGCATCGTCGGTCATAGCCAGGAGTGTGGAGTTTTGTGCCTTCTCGAAGGTGTCCATGAGCTTCAGGTGTGTAAGAAGGCCGTGGAGCATTGAGGTCGAGCCATGCTTGGCTAGGACGTCTCCGAGAGACTGTGCCGCCGCAGAAGCCAGTAAGACGGCAGTTGTGGTGCAAGTGAATAGATGCATCGTGATTGAGGATTCAGATCAGTCCTGTTCTGGCGTTGGATGCGCGTAGGGGTTTTGCAGCCGGTTGCTATATCTACATATACTTTTCCCAGTCGTCCCCAGTCTTGGCTTGGGGTCGTCGTCAGTCTCCTACTCCACCAAGTCTCAGACTCGAACTCTTTTCGGGCATGTAGCCGGTAGAACGCCTATCTAAGGTTCAACTTATGCTAAGTCAAGCTATAAACAGCAAAGGTTACTATGCAGACAAACGGGCGTACTGGAAAGTGGCAGGTTGATCCTTGTGTACGATATCGACCGTTTTGACAAACGGATTCTCAATTCGGCAAGGCACTGGAAGCATGACTACTGCGGTATATATCAATGGCCAAGCATGTGATCCTTGAACAAGTAGTATTAGGAGTAATCTGCCCCAGAAAAGTAGGTCTTGATTGTAAAGTGATCGAAGTTGTAAGCTGCTGGGGCTCTCGCGAGTGGGAATAATCGTCTAGGCATCTTGAGTTTTGAGCCATAGCGAAGCAGCAAAGACACCCACTATAGGATCCATTGACTATGCAGATTGTCACATACGACCATACCCATTGGAAAACTCGGGATCCCGTCCGCTCTCCCATAGATAAGCCAATGAGGGCCGGATTAGTAGTTGGGTCGGTGACGACCAGCGAATACCTGGTGTTGTATGTTTTTGACTTTTTGTGCTCACATCTGCTTTAAGGGCACCGGAGACCTGTCAATGGATGTAGATGAGACCGTTTTGGCTAGCCCTTGCACATTCATTTAAATCAGGAGGAGCCCTCTAATGAGATTTGAGGAACGCTAGATTAGCCTTGCCCACAATGACTTAAAGCTATCCTCGCGATCTAAGTTGACTGGCCACACAACGCGGCTCAACATTTCCCTGGCTTCGGACCATGCAACAACGCCTGTGATCTTGGCCCAATTCCGAACGAAGCTGGCCAATTCTTCCAGGATGGAATCGAGGCGCTTGTCGCAGAATAATAGCTGGGCATGAACCACACTTAATGAACCGACAAATGCTTTCCAGAGCCACGTGTCGCGTGTCTCTCGGCTCATACTGGAGAGACTGGCTAAGTCATTTCGCAAATCTTGTGTAAGAATCTGGAGTATATGATAGTGCAGTTGCTTCTCCATTGGTAGACCCTGATTCCAGATCCCAAGAGCGGCAATCAGATACATGCCGACGCCCACACAAAATCCAGACCACGACGATATAAAGGTTTGCTTTCCACGAGATGGGAGTTGAATCTTGTCGGCCAATGATGAATGATGGGCGCTGATGACTGCGAACAGTAGGTCGGATGAGCCACCACTATCCCAAACCTTCCAGGGCGTGGTGAGAACTACGTCAGCAGATGCTTGCGCATGTCTTGTGTCTGCGAGCTTGGTAATATTACGAAGAGCTGTAATAGTCGGGTACATATCAATGTTCTTTGGCTTGCTACCTTGTGGCACAGAGCCGAAAAAGAAAGGTACCATTCGGAGAGCCCTGAGGCGAAGATCCAGATCACTAGCCTCGTGGTTAGGCCATCCATGTTTCAAGTTGGCCAACCCTCTGAGATGTGAGTGTGGCTTTTTGCCTTGAGATGATGCGTAGGTAGCAAGATTGTCATCTGAGCGGCTCTTCAAGCAGTGGACGACGTTGTAATCTCTAGTGAGGTAAGGAATCAATGAACATGTACATTTTATTCTGCCATTTGAGGTTCCTTACAGAATAAGATAGCGATTCATCTGCTCAACTTGAATGTCATCAATTATGTGCTGACCGGGGGTTTCCGCTCGCTGAGAATCCAGATAAGTCATGAGACCTTTAAGGTGAAATTCGGCAATAGCCAAATTTCCTAGGCAACACTAAGAATTCGAAATGTCAGTATGACGGAGTATAAGAGCGAACCAGCGTTGTAGCACCTCTATGAAGCAGAGCGTACTGATGTACTTTGCGCACCGCATGATATCTCGTTCGTGTGGCGTTGCGACAAGCCAAGAGTTGACCTGGCGTATGCTCTGGATCTTTTGGGAGACAAAAGTGGATTCAAATGAAGGGAGATCGCCTTTATTCCATGCGTAGTGAAGACCGGATAACAATATCGTGTTTTGCAGGACATCCGCATCGGAAGTAGCTGATGCAATACTGCAGTGCCTCTTAATATATTGTCGTCCGGATACCGCGATAGACACTTACCAATCATCCGGATTTCCGGGTAGCAGACTGTGAGAGCGGCAAGCTTGGAAAACTGTTGTGCTATGATCAGATACAGCCAACACGTATTGCTGGCTTAGCATGAGAGAATAGACTAACAGTAGTGAAGAAGTTCCTTCGACCTGAGAGGCATGTTGATGGGCAAAGTGTCGAAGGGATCAAAGGCTTCCCACGGAGTTACATAAAACGGACTCGGTATTGTGAGCACTTGGATAGATGGCACCTCTGATGATACGGCAATCTCCTTGTCGCTATGAGAGTGGTGTGTGATGGGCCGTGTATCCTCAACGGCCCACGGTGCTTGTTGACCAGGGCAAGGGCCAGCTCTACGTTCGCGGAGCGGAATCTTCGGCACATACGAACACAACTGCTCTTTGAGTGTACAATTGAAGCTGTCGGATAAGATCATTAATCGTGCGTTCCTGAAGTGTTATGACTTGTGGTGAAGCCTCGTGGGGTAAGTTGTTATGATGTGACTGGATCCTCCCAGACAGCACTTGTCGAAATAGTCTTTATATCCACTATCTGACCGCGTAAATGGACACATTAGGAAGGCAGCTTACCAAGATGGGCGCCTCTCATCGCATCGAATGTGCTTTTGGCGGCATGATACGCACCCTGTCCGGCTTCGTGTATTGGTGCGTCTCGACTTGGGCTTATTCGGCCCAGGGGCCATTATTGGCATGCGAGCAGCCGAGATCAATGCTCGGGTGAGAGTTTTCTTCTCTGGCCTTCCGATCTGGCCAAAACAAAGAAAAGCAGAAGAGTGAGTGACGAAATTCGATTTCATGTGAGATTTAAGCAAAGGCAAGTATATGCCGCTATTCCCGTTTGGGCCGAATAACCTGTCAGCCGGCGAATTATCTTTGGCCTCCTTTTCCCTACGATTGTACGGGGTTCGGCCAACTCCTGCACATCCCTTGGAGAACCACAGAATACCCATAGCCAGAAGATGTTTGTTACGCTCGAGTATGGCAACTATCGGTTATGCAACGAGCAGAAAGTGGCTTCACGAAACTTCTGGAAGTCTGCCTGCTGATCCTACTAACAGGCCGCTGATAGCATGACCAGGCAACAGACTGAGCAATTTGACTTGAGGATTTGGTATAAAGATCGCTTCAATTCCTTACAAGAGGAAAGAAACAAACCATCTTTCCCTTCTTCATCACTCTCAGTCAAAACAACTCTACCAAATACCAGACAATGGCCTCCCTGCCTTTCAGTGCCCATCCCTACGAGGTCCCTCCTTCAGCAAATCTCACGGCCACCAGCATCTCAGTCCCTGATGCTGAGATTGACAGTTTGAAGACGCTTCTCAAACTCACCCCCATTCCCAAACCCAATAGGTTCAACTCGAGGGATGATGGGTCTTTCGGCCTTCATCGAGATGTCCTCTCAGAGTTGGTCAAATACTGGGAGAACGAATACGACTGGAGAAAATGGGAGTCTACTCTCAACACTTTTCCCCAGTTCAATATGGATGTTACCGATGACGACTCCAAAACATACAAGATCAACTTCTTCGCTCTTTTCTCCAAGAACCCAGCCGCAATCCCCATTCTATTCCTACACAGCTGGCCAGGCTCTGTTGTAGAGTATCTCCCGATCCTTCGCAAACTTCAATCTCAATACGACCCCGAGTCGCTTCCCTATCACGTCATTGTGCCTCATCATGTCGGATTTCCGTTCTCTGACGCACCGCCCCTCGATAGGGACTTTTCGCATCTCGATAATGCTCGCCTCATGTCAAAGATGATGCATGCGTTGGGCTTTGGTAAGTCTGGCTACATTGCCTCAGGCGGTGACCTCGGCGGTTGGTCAGCGCCCGTCATTGCGAATCTCGATCCAGCGTGCAAACTCGTCCACATGAGCATGCTGAATGTTTCACCACCTGCTGGTGAAGATGTCGAGGCCGGTATTGAGGCAGGGCGGTATACTCCAGACGAGGTAGCAGCCTTTGCCAGAATGACCGAATTTGCAAAGACAGGCACCGCATTCATCCAACTCGACGGAACGAAGCCAGCCAGTGCAGGGCACATTATCGGAAGCAACCCAGTGGCACTACTCGCCTGGATCGGGGACAAGATGATCAAGTGGTCTGACAAGACACCAGATAGAGATCTTATCATCACGAACCTGGCCCTCTATTGGTTCACGGGGTGCTTCCCAACGTCGGTCTATATCCATCGTGTGGTCTTTGAGAACGTTGAGCTTATGATGAATGGCTGGAAGACTCTCAAAGTCCCACTAGGATATTCAGCCTTCAAGTATGAGCTTGTCTCTGCACCTGAGAGGTGGATCAAGCAAACAGACCAGGTGAGCTGGTATCGAATGCATGAGAGAGGAGGTCATTTTGCTGCGCTTGAAGAGCCAGAGACTTTATGGAAAGATGTGGAGGATTTTATCGGGAAGTTTTGGCCAACGACCTTGTGAGGCCTGCTGTGTAACCAGGCTTCGAAGGTTTGCATGTGATCTTGTTGCGTGGAAGGAAACATCGTTGATGAGAATGGTTTATAGTTGTAGAGTCACACAAGAGATTGAAATGATATAGGGCGATGTGCTCAACAGCTCATGTTCCTGTCTAATAAGAAGAAGTTTACCCAATCATCGAAAGTATTCCGATATTGATTGAACTGGGCACACTTGCTGCCCTAGAGGCAACAAAATACCAGACAGCTCTCTGTTGCAACGGTGTCGCCGACGATGGACTACGCTTCTGTGCTGTGGTCCGATACGAGTATTCGCCAGTGCTTTCATGTCGCTGTGTCACACAATATCCACTGTACGCACGCTGCCATCCGCATACATGCTTCTCTGCAAATCGTTCGGTGGGGTGGTTGACTGGATGAAGAAGCATCCGATCCGTTCAAACTTACCAGGTTGCTGCTTGCTTTCCCTCAGGACCAGTGAAATGAGCTTGAAATTGTCACTTGCTCCATCTTGGATGAAGCTCATCCTGAGGCAGAGGACATCTGCGCCTGAAAGAACTTGGTCTGGACCAGGGCTATCCAAGACGTAATCAGCATGGATATGGAACCGCCCGGTCGATACAACGACATAGTGAACCACGGTCTCCTTCCCGTGACGAATCACGTTGTCTCGTTCAAGTACACCCTCAATTGTGAGGCCGGATATTCTCAGGAGCCCGTAGGCTATGCCGCCATAATTGCCCACGCCTGATGGAGTTACCTGGCAGTCCAGAACGGTGCTGTAGTGCTCACAAAGGCCTCTGGAGTCTTCTTCGTAGTCAAGGTCGGGGTCCCAGACAAACACTGCGTCCCACACATCGACGCTCGAGTCAACACTAGCCCAAGACCATGTCGGTGCGGTCCTGGGACTTGGTCTCGGGGTTTTGAGGGTAGTCCGTATGATCCAAAGAAGATCATCGTTTATGGAATCTTCCCATATCCCTGCCAGGTAGGACGACTTTCGCCTGACCGCCATATGCTTTGCGAGACCTCCAATGGCCGGTAGACGGTCCGAGGTCATTGTGAGATGAAGCGCAGTGTATGAGGTGATCAGGGTGCGCCATAACCTCGCCATAAAATAGCCAGCTACATCCACCCAGTCGTACCCATCAACCTCGCTATCAAGTGCGGAAGCGTGCAAGAGTTTGGTGATGGATATGGGGGAAGAGTCGGATGACCCATGAAATTTGATCCGGCCGCATTCACAGAAGAGGTCGGAACGACACTCGAAGAATATCTCTTGGGGGCCGAAATGCAGAACGCGTGTCGACAGCATGCGTTCCTGGTAGACCCAAGCTCTAGTGAGTAAAGGATGAAAGGAGGATGTTGGATCTCCTCTGTCTGTTGGATTGACGATATTGATGACCTCGAGATGATGGTCAATTCTACGGCGAAAGAGCAGTCGATAGGGGTCACCCGTGACCGTGGGCAAGACAGAGTCAGACACCTCGAAGTCGGGTGTGTTGACAAATAGTCCTCCATCACCATTGCGTGATTGCGTAGCAGCAATGGTCAAGTAAGCGTTACTGTAGACCTCGGCCATCTTCACAGACTCTGTTTCCCAGTCGAGCTTGGAATCTTGGATGATACACAGTGAGTCAATCCAGATGTATTTGATTCCAAGTCTTCTAGTGACTAGGACGGCGTCTTGAAAGGTTTTCGAAAGACTGGTCATTGGAATCCCTGCCTTGCGTTGGGAAAGAGTTGCATTTGTGCTGGTTATGATTTGTTTTTGGCCCCAGCAATGACTAAGAGTGATGTAGTCTTCGTGCTGGCCGCTGGAATCAATGAGTCGAATCATGTCTTTAGCGTATTCAACGTCTAGTACCCGGCTTGGAAGCGTCGGCTTTTCAGGAGACTCGCAATATGCATGAGAATCGCCGCGACAAATCTCAATCCATGATCTGACTTTGTCAAGAGCAGTATCCGAATCAGTACCTTCCGATGTCCTGTATGTGGTCGGTATCGATTCCCATGTATCACGAACAGGATCTGGGGCATTTCTTTCAACATTTATGATTCCACATATTACCAATGGACTGTGTTGTGCTTACCGCCCTCAAGCGCAAAAATTTCGACTTCAAAGCGACTCCCATCTGTCATGTTAAATCGAATTTGTTTGTCAACGTCGACCGGAAAATCGTACTTGAGGTCAGACGACAACTTGTAAATGAATTGTATGTCGCAATGGTTGATGTTGGCTTCATGAATATTATGCTGTGCTAAGCAGCCTCGGCACCCCATTAAGAGGACACTACAAGTGTGACAAGAGGCTGCAAAGCTTTGGAACTTGTCCCATGGCACCCCTGATATTTCATGGTCCCGCCTGGTCCTCAAGGCTGGATCTTGAATGTCTCCATGGCCGTGGAGGTCATTGCAGATCTGGCAAGCCATGATGAGGATGAGCGCTGAGCGTGCATTATTGTTTGGCTGGATGTTTGAAGCATCTGACGAAGCGATAATTAAGGGGGTTTTAGTATCATGTGACCGGTAACCCATTGGCGTCGTAGATGTTATTGGCACTTTGTGTTCAGGTGCAGGCTGACTGCATATTGCGTAGTCATCCGCCTTATTGCGATGCGCAGACTGGTTGGCCCACCAATTGCGAGTCTCTTCGAAGTCAAACGGGCTGAGCTAGAATTTAACGTGGTCTTCAGTGACGCATTTGATTATGGCTTGACGCTTATATCTCGCGCTGCATGCCTTTATCTACATAGTATCTAGGAACCGTTACCCAAAAGAACGCCCGCTTTAGATGCGAAAGAACAGATAATGAATACAGTAATAATACACTGCAAACGGTCGTTCACCTAAAAGTCCCTGCTCTCTCCAATCTCACACACATCAAACACGCCAGTCGGGGGCAAGCCCTTCTTCTTCATGGCTTCCTGAAGAAGCTTGGGCGGCTCCAGAACCTCTTCCATAGTCAGGGCCCATGTTCCCCAATGAATGCCCATGGCACGCTGACACCTGGTATCCTGGAAGATCTCGACGGAATCGAACGGGTTGGCGTGCATTCCTGAGAAGGCAACACGGGGATAGTATGCACCGATGGGGATCAGGCCGAGGTCAAACGGTCCTCGGAATTCACCAATCTGCTTGAACTGCGGGCACATGGGCAGGTGGGCGTACTTTGGACCGTAGTCATCGACATCAAGCGGGGTCCACGGCACGGCGCGGTATCCCGTGTCGCCGCCGAACCAGACCGACTTGCCAGACGACTTGACGCCCCACGAGGCCCAGAGTGTCGTGTCCTTGTCAAAGGGCGTGCGGGCGGAGGTGTGCTGGCAGGGGAGGCAGGAGACCTGGGCGGTGATGGACTCGGGCGCCTCGTCGACGCCCTTGTCGATGTTGAGGGTGATTTCGGCGTCCTCCCACCAGTCGAGTTCCGTGACGTTCTTGAGGCCGGCGCTCTTAAACCAGGACTCCAGGCCGAGGCCGACAAAGAAGTGGGCCTTTGGGTTGTGCTTCTGGATGGTGAGGACGGATTCGTGGGAGAGGTGGTCGTAGTGGCTGTGGCTGATGAAGACGGCGTCGACAAAGGGTATGTCGGCGAGGTCGCAGGGTTTGGGGGTGAAGCGTTTGGGACCCATAAATGAGAAGGGGGAGCAGCGGTCTTCAAAGACAGGGTCAAAGAGGACGCGCAGGCCGGAAGGGAATTCTACGTAGTAGCAGGCGTGGCCCAGCCATGTTGCGCGGAGCTTGTCTGAGGCTGTGCGGTTGGGCAGGAACTCTGGCTTTTTGACGGTCACTGTTGGCGGCGTGGTGTCAGGCCACTTGAGCTCACCCGTCACTTGCGGCCTGTGATGGTTGTTAGATGCGATTGAGCGGGAGTGGAAGCGGAAGTGAGGCCGGCGTAACCGGGCTGTGAGAATGAGATTGAGATTGAAACGTACCAGAGGACATGGCGGACCATCTTGGAAAAGCCGATGCCATCACCAAAGGAAGGGTGGACGTTCTTGAAGCCGACTCTGTTGCCGTTTTTCGTGACGTGATGAGGCTTAGATGAGGCATCCTCGGGCGAGGGACCAAGGTCTGGGATCTTGGTGACGGTGGTTGAATATGAGGCCATTGAAAGGGCGAGCACGGAGGCCGGCGTTGCTGAAGCCTTTTTAGTACCGGGACGTATGGGCGGTTGTTGGAAGAAAGTGCGGAAGAATTGTCTGAACTTGGACATGGTTCATCAAAGACCCTCTTGCCCGAGGGGTGTGAGGGGATTCCGAGATATATAGATAGAGTTGGACTTTGTTACATATGCAGGATGTGACACGAAGAAGAGGAGAGGGAGGGAGGGGAGTGGAAGGGACAAGCTCAAAGTGGTTGCAATCCGCGCTCGCCGGCCGGGGAATTGGACTAGACGGAACGGGATCCACTCGGCGTTAGCGAGAGCAATGAGCCCGGTCCGAGAGAGAAAAGATGAGGTAGGCAGTCAACGATACGTGTGCATCACTCATGCGTTGAGGCTTGGTTGAAATCTGCACGTCAGATGTGCGATTGCGAGCCACAGGAATGATGAGCTCTGGGCCATCAGTCCAATGGCTATGAAAAGTGAGCTGGTCTACCTGTCGCAACGCGTCAAGCATCTGCGCGTCACTACCTTACCTCTAAGTCACTTCATGTAAGTCGGCGCATCTGATTGGCACGTCAGTGGAGATACCGGCTTTTAGGACAACCAAAGTCCCCTAACCCGCCCACGGGTGTGCCCGTCTCATTGACAGTCCAATGATCCATACGACTGGACCAGCCCTGAAGGTTCAAGCCACCGACTCCGGCTTCCAAAGTCCCATCTCCATCACCCACCAACTTAAGGTACTTTGGGTGAGCTATTGCACTTGGCTTGTGCGCGAGTGCGGGGGTTGCTAAAGTCCGGCGGTACCGTATTACTTGATGTACCGGCGGCCCATCGCGGAGACACGGTGGAATGATCCCTCCGTTGTGCGTTGTGCGAGATACCGGGGCAACGACGCTAGTCCCTTTTCGTAACCCATCTCTCTACCTTTTCACCTTCAGAAGTCATCATTTTTGAAAGCGATAACAATCAGGTACCCTAGAACAGGGGACCTAAGTACCCTAGAACAGTTGACATGCGACTTTTAGCCAACTGGGGGCCGCCTCTTCATCCCTACTTGTATACCACATTTGTGAGTTACGGTTATTGTTCACACATGGCAGACTTCACGTAAGCATCCATGCAAAGCAACAAGAGACATGGTGACCGCACTCGCATCTGACAACCTGACTTCAATGCGACTCACGTTCACCATTCATGAGCAAACCACATCTTGGTCTTTGGCAGTAATTTCCTATCTCGTCATTGAAATCCTCTAGACTGCAACGCAAAGAACGCCTGGGGTGATCTCCAACATGATGTTCTACACCGAGGCCCACGAGAAACGATCATGACCAGCAAAGTCGCACACCCCCTTCTCCTGCTCCCACTCCTGCCTCTCCATGGCCCGCAAGTACTGTGTTTTGGCTCTGCGCATGTTGACCGGGTACTTGTATCTCATCGCCAGCTGCAGCCGCTGGCTCTCCTGCTCCTCCTCGCGGCGAGCCCAGTCTTCCTGTTGTTGAGCCCAGTCTTCTTGGCGTCGACTCCAGTCTTCCAGACAATGAGCCCACTCTTGGTCAGAGCAGGTGTAATCTTCCGTCTTCTTTGTTTTCTCCTCTTCTTGTTCTTCGTTCTCGTCGTTCATTGCGCCCGGGCCGTCGATCTCGTCTGGTATTTCCATGGCTCCCCTTACGAGCTCAAGGCTGAGCGGTCGCGGTTTGCCGAGGGATGGAAGCGATATGGTCCTTCCTAACGGTTTGTTTTCAATCGTGGCAGTATTTAGAGAAACTCCCGTGGTACTTGTTGCTGGATTCTCCTCGCTACGACCAATCCATCGCCGTAATTTCGCAAGGTTATGCGGAATACGCTCAAACCGAAACGTCTTGATGACGAACTGGTTCCGAAGACAATGCAGTTCCGCCTCGCAGTCCTGCACAATACCAGCGTACAAGATCCTTGTAGGTTTATGTCCGCAATTCTTTGCCTCGGTCTCCAACGTACGGGCCTCCCGTAGCCAGCTTTGGATTTGCCGTGTTGCGTCCCGTGGTAAGCGGTGCTCCTGGACGAGATGGTGGACGTCCCGGTACTCTGCCTCTTCAAACCCGTCGCGCCATGTTTGCACCTTTTTGTCCAAGAGTGGAATGCTGCTTTGTCGGCGTAGTGCGAGGATTGCTGATTCCCAGACTGCGGCGTCAGGATTTGCTGCTGGTTTGTTTGGCGGGGGGAGTTGTTGGTGGTTTGTCGGTGTAAGAAAGTTCATGATAGCTGCGGCTGGCATTCTTATATGTCCTCAAATATGGATTGTTGTCTTTTTTGGTTGTGTACAGTGAGGTTTGAGAATGTGAGATATGGTGGCTATGATGTCGTACAGATAGTGTGCCATGAACAATCCCATCAGGTTGTCAACTCGCCTTTTGTATCCTTCCATCAACCTTTGCGTCTCGAGGCGGAGATAGCTATGGAGTTGTGCCTCTCCCACGCAAAAGCTAGCCGCGCAGAACTAGACGAATGGGCCCTAAGCTTTACCTGGAAGTCTTCAAAAACCAACTCAAGCCATAGAGGTACAAAAAAGTCAAAAAACAGTAAACAAGTTCAAATTCATCGAGACTGTGAAGTCCCTGTCGCCGTCATTATCCGTCATCATGGTATCTGAGAAACAAGAACAAAAGCAAGCCCTGGACTAAAAGTTGCGCCCGAGCGGAACGCTCATCAAGAAAACCAATAGACGATCCTCGCAAAGGAAAGCGTCCATCAAGCCACCCAAAGGACCTTGCAAAGCAGATCTCACATGTTGATATTCCGTGTGTCGTCGCCCATTTCCTCGCTGCCCAACTCTGCCTGAACCTCATCGGCCACGAAACCCTCGTAGTCGTCAAGGTTCTTTTGTACGTGAATCTTGAATTTGATGACATCGTTGAGCATGCGGTCAATCTCTGTGTGCAGCTCTTCTCGCAGGGAGTTGGCACGAAGCACGAGCTGTTCGTATCTAAGGTAACGGTCAGTACTGACGCACCGGTAGCTGCGATTTACTTGGACTTACTCGATGCTGGTGTTCATCTCACGTTGCTCCATCAGCTGTACCGACTCTGACAAAGTGGCTCGCATCTTGGCAAGCTCCTTTTCCATCTTCTCGATCTGGGCATCAGACGCCATCTTTTGTGTCGTTGTTACCTGTGATAGTTGTGTTGTTAGTGGGTGGTCTATTGTGCAGATCAGGCATACTGCGTACCTCCTTGGTCTTCTCATATTCTTCTTCAGCAGCGCGGACACGATGCTCCAGAGCCTCAACTTCGTTACGCTTGTCTTCGATTGCCTCCTTGATGCCATCGAGCAAATCATGATCCTTCATCATGTTGTCCATAGCAATGGTTCTCCTTTCGGAAATCTCCTTTCTGAGCGTGAGGAAACTGTTCTTGACCTGTCCGCGCAAGTCGAGGTTGAGAATGTGAGCGGCTTGGTAACCAGTAACAGGGTCAGCAAGCAATCGGTCGCTTGAAGAAACGCCGCTAGAGCCCTTCAATTGGGAAGAGCTGAAGTCCGGTCCATCGTTGACCGTTACTTGCAATTCGTAGTCTCTGCCGTTAGCGTTGACTGCGGTTGCAGGTATAAGCGCAATCTGATACGCCAAAGTGTTGTATCTGTCTACCATTCTCTCGAGTTCGTCCAGTTTCCTGCTCGCCTCCATCTCCTTTTCGGCGACTTTCTTCTTGACGTCCTCCAATCTTTGCGATGCCGACTCGATTCCCTTCTGGAGACGTTCCCGCTCAGCAGTCATGCGGTCGATATCCTGCATGCTGATGCCGAGATCGTCCACAGCTTTTTGAAGTCCTCGTCGTTCGTCCTCTACCTCTCTCAGCTCCTCATTGAGCTTATCAAGCTCTTCGTGTAGAACGTTGATTCGGGTTTCGTACTTGTCGGATCTCTGCATGGCAAGCGCATTGTACTCCTCGAACTTGATCTTGTCCTCTTCCATGATCCTGAAGTGATTGTCGAGTACCGCGGGATCCGGTGTAGACTTTTCAAGATCTTCAATTTCTTGCAAAAGTCGGCTGTTCTCTGCCTCGAGCATTTCAAGCTCGGAGGTGTACTTGGAGTTGGACTGCTCGAAAGCGGCGGCCATCCTTTCAATATGAGGGGCCAGTGCTCGGTTGGCATCGTCGTCGTCTGCGTCCTCGTCCATGGCAAGCCAGTCCCTATATGCCTTGCTCAAAAAGTCGAAAATGATACGATCCCCGGTGACGTCGATGCCGCTTTCGAGACAAGCATCGTCGTATCGACTACAGGCGTAGCCATCCAGCATCTGCGCCAGCTGCATCATCCAATGCAGCAATCCCAGGAAAGTGCTCCAGTTTTGACCACCAACAGCGGCAATCTGACTCTTTGTGATGCTTCTCTCGTACGGGTACCGCAGCTGCTTCAAGATAGGCGGCACTTCTTGGTCGATGTTCTTTTGGAACTTGTGGCTCGGGTCAATCCGTCTGTACAGCCATTGGAACATGAAGTTGAAATCCTTTTGTGTAGGGGACTTGATGATGTTTTGCGATAGGGTGTGCTTCATCTGCATTTCGAAGTTGTTTTGGGCGAGGTAATCCAGCAGCTCTTGTCCTATTCTAGCCTGGTAGGATCTGTCTCGCAGCGGGCGGGGGTCTCGTGGTACGCCAGCAGGCTGTGGTGCTTGCTGGAAGAAACTCTGGTGGCTCATGGGTCCGGCGGTTGATGTCCTTGCGCGGTACACGCTGCTCCTTCTATCGTCTTGTGAAGATCGTCCTGGTGCAGGCGTCGGGGCAAAGGACTTGTCGCGCATCGATGATGTTCGCTTCACTGAGGACAGGCCAATGTCTGCCAAGTTCGTTCCGGATGATGAGCGCTGGAACATGGGCTGGCTAGGTCGCGATAATGCCAGAGATTGTCTGGAGCCGGACATGGATCGGCCATGGCTGTTTGAGTAGGGCGCGCCTGCGCCGACGCCTGAGGCGGATCGCTTCATCGCTGATGCGGGTTGAGGTAGGCCGGTGTTGTAGTTAATGCCTCCTAATGTCTGCGCAAGATGTTAGCTAGGGCGAATCTCTAGAGGCCATGGTATTGCGACAGGCTGATATTGAGGAAAATGCTGACTTCTCTTGGTCTGCGCACACTCCACAGGCCGGTGTCTTGCGACATGGTCGGAGGGAGCTGAACAGTGGGAGTTCTAGTGCCAAATCGCAGCCAACGGACTTGCGAAAGGACTTGCGATCCAGGAGCCAATAATTGCGAGTCGCGGGGATAGAAGCAAGCTGTTGCGCGACGAATTCGAGTAAAGATGTATGGTTTGCGCGTGCGTGCATGCGTCGTGTGTAAGGAGGTGCGAGTGGGATGGCGGATCGGGTAGCAGATGCAAAAGTGTTGTTGCTCTGGAGCAAGTAAACAAATTGTTCTGCCCCTCGGTCATTGGTTGCGCACTGCCCCTCTCAAACAATGGGCGATGGGTCCCCGGCTGCCGTCTCGGTGATGCCCAACACGTGACGGTGAACGAAGGACATCCGGACGGTACTTGCTCGGCATTTCTCCGCATTAGGTAATCGCTCCAGACATTTCCCCAGCCGCTGCTCTGCGCCGAAGCCTCGGCTCAGGATCCGGCCACCCATTATTGCACGTAATCAGGTCGCGAAGGGCCCTCCGTCATTCCTTCCAACTGCACATGCCTTTTACCTTCGCCTCCATTACCGCGAAGTGTACTCTTCACTGAAGAAGTTCGCGGCGAGGTTGACAAGGCGACACATTGAAGATGGCGATACGAGAGGATATCGTCGCATCAGCGGTATGGTGAACCCAATCCCCAAGTCCAATGACGGCCTGCTAACTTGTAGATAGACGCAGTGTTAGTCCCAAAGAACCGATGTATCGCGCGCAACCCTATACTGACTGTACTGTAGTTCTGCAGGACCCGAGCGTTGCAAGCTCGTCCATCGAGAGTCGCATGTCTTTCCTACGGACTAAGAACCTGACCCAAGAAGAAATCGATGCCGCTTTATCGAGAGTCGGCGTCCAGGCTGCACCGGGTCCGATGCCGGTCGCTCAGCAGCAGCAACAGCAACAACCACAACAATACTACCAACCAGCATACCCTCCTCAGTACCAGGCATGGCAACCTCCTCCACCGCCCCCTAAGAGAGACTGGAGGGACTGGTTCATCATGGCAACAGTCGTCGGTGGTTTCAGCTACGGCGCATACACTCTGGCCAAGGTACGGACTTCCACACCTCTGGTTCTACGAAAACAGATGACTGACAAAGCTTAGCGATACGTGGTTCCTCTGATTGCGCCGCCGACACCCGAGAAGCTCGAACAGGATAAGAAGTCGATTGAGGAGCAGTTTGACAAGGCCTTTGGGCTTGTCGAGCAACTGGCCAAGGATACAGAGGAACTCAAGGCTACGGAGCAAAAACGCACTGAAAAACTGGACACGGCTTTGGAGGATATTGAAAAGATTATGACGGAGCTGAGGAACGCCAATCAGCGAAGGGAACTCGAGACACAGCGCGTCAAGGACGACGTGCAGATCCTCAAGGATTCCATCCCTAAGGCTATGAACACTCAGAAGGATCTTACCGACTCGAGACTGAAGGAGGTCAACACCGAACTCACTAGCCTCAAGACCCTGATCACACAACGCATGACCGCCGCGTCATCATCGACACCCGCCAACGGTCTGCGACCTGGTGCGACCGCTACGCCCGCTCCTGCTGCGAACAGCACGGAGGCCGCTGCCAGCACCGAGACCACCAAGCCCGCTAGCACGCCGACCTTCAACCGCCCTTCGCCGTTCAGCGGTGCCACGGGCGCAAAGGCCTCTATCCCGGCCTGGCAGATGGCCATGGCCAATAAGGACTCTGCCGCCACACCGGCAACAACAAACGGAACCTCGTCCGACAGCAACTCGCAGCAGCAGGCATCCGCTTCTTCATAAATGGGATAGTAAGGAAACACAATGTACAGTATGCATCTATGATTTCATTGCGTCATGAACAGGAGAGCGACGGGTGTAATTGCGCGTGTGGAACTTTTGGGAAAAGAAACGCCTGTACAGTGTAGCAAAAGGTAGATATAAGCCTTGAAGCAGACTACGTGTATGCGGCGGCATAAAACATCCGAAAGCGACCTTTGTGTGTGACAGTTATCCACGTGCAAGAGCCAGAACTCCAGCCCAGCCCGGACCGCAGCTTCAGGGTTCAGAGGGGTTGTGAACGTGTGAGGCTGGCCAGGGTTCCATTGACGTGTTTTGCATGGGCTGGTCGCTAT